AAGATCAAGCAAGAATTAGGCTTCTGGGAGAGGGATGCATTTCCTACATAGGTCATTAAATTGAAGAGATTTTTTTCAAAATTCTGTTTCATGTTTTAAAGTTTCCATTCTACAAGTTTTATATTTGCATATAGAGTACGTTTGGATGTGGGTTTTTATTACCACTTAGTATTTAAATTCATTTAAGGAAGCTTAATGCAATCAGCCCCAATGCTTCTCGTGTCAAAGTTAAGAGGAGTTGCCAATTTAAACAGGAACTAGCAACAACTACTTTCTGTCCAAGGATTTTTTCTTTTGCTCAGCTATACAACTGAAAGAAACTGCATTATGTCCAAAAGAAACTTACTTGCACTGTGTCTGGAAGAGATTGCACTAGATCTGCACTAGACGTTAGAATGGCACTAGATTGACTCAAAATGTATTTTAAAGCCAGTAACTGTACCACTACAATTCACATGTATGCTCTGAAATCAAAAATATGCTTGTACTGTTTAATTTGTAACAATTGGATGAACTTTGTGGAGTTATATAGCATAACCTAGAGTGAATCTCATCTAAAATGACTTATTTTTAATTGATCAAAGTGCCAAAGCAACAGGAAGGCATTTTTGTTGTCAATGTAATGCATACTCTTCCCTCCGGTTTCCCTTCCTTCACTGCAAGGTCATCTCCTTAAATTGTTTATGCTTAATATGCAAGCTGCAAAACAACCTTGGTTGTGACCGTATAGCTATTCTGGAGCATATATGAAGACTATTTTCAAAGTGTTACAGTAGACCAATGAACCTTAATTATTTCAGCTCTACCTTCAGAGATTTAGGTTTTGACCTCTTGGCACACAAAGTCAGTTGAAAGGGAGCCTATTCAGAGATGACAGTAGAGCAGAAAGTTAACTTTTGTGCCCTGGAACAGCTTTTTCTGAATGCCAATGTTAAAGCTCAGCTGAATTCACCTTGAGCACTCCCTGTTAGCTTCAATACCAAGTCAAGTCAAGTATCACCTCCACCTGGAAAGGGTGGCACAGAGCAGGGTATTAGATGCACTTTCTGAAAACTAGGTCTGTCAAGACAAACTACACTGGATTCCTTTTATGGCAGTGTTTTGGGATTCCTTACGGAGTTGTCAGAATTTCCTACGTAAAAATAAACTAAGATGATGGATTGAAGCTGCAAAGGTCAAGGCAGCAAGCATATGGGTGATTATTAGAGGACAGGATGGGTCTTTTAGCTTGTTTAATAGCTAAATGGCCTACCACTATTAATATAAGTGGTACAAGAGGTATCTTGACTTTAACAAAAGCACTAAGCTGAAGTAACTTGTTCTTAAACAAGAAAGGAGTAGTTCCTACCAAAATTAAAACAAACATCTGCTCCCCCCCCGCCAAAGCCATCCACCCCGATTCTTTAAATGCAAAATGAGTTTTATGACTGCTGTATTAACAAAAAAAAAAAAAATTACATCAGAACTTTGTAGACTTGAATACTTCATGGAGATCAAGGAATACAGTAGTTCTCTGCAATGCAGCCACTACAAAAGCACAAACGGCCTCTTTTGGAAGGCTAGTCATTTGCCTCAAACTTGCATAATTTACACATAATGCTATTGACAACAACACATTAGAATAAAAAGCCCCCCGCCGCCCCCAGCATTTTAGTTTTAAGCTAAAAGAGATGTATTTGGTACTTAGCTTTAATACCTTCCAGAAGTCTTAAAGTTGTACGTGATCTCTGTTTATTAGGTCTTCAACTGCATGGTTCTGTGAAAGCCCACAGTCGAAGTGGATCAGTCACAAAAAGCAAACAGGGGTTCTGACACACCACGAAGAAGTATCCCTCCATCTCCAGAGTCACAAACCACCTCTTGTTCTCAGCAATGTCAACATTGTTTACAGAGAGTTTTCAAACACCCTTCCTTATGAATAGTTATTTTTATATAAATATAAAAAAGCAGCTGCCAAAGATTAGAAGGGGTATACTTAAACATTCCATTTTCTACCAGTAGAAAAAGTTACACTCCAGTAGAAGGGTGAATATATTCCAGTGGGCAGTAAAGCCTAACTCCTAGAAAATCTAGCAAATGCTCTCAGTCATTGCTGTTTTCCCATTACTGCCTTGTGACCGGTTCATGTTGTTACAGGCAGGTACTGCAGAACCTGCTGATTTTTTCCATTAGCTCTACAAATATTATAATCAGGCCTTTCACAGTAGTAGTAATTTAATTTTTTAAAGCTGTGTTTATATATTTAAAGCAATATTCTAGTATGAAAAGCAAGCACTGCACATGATACTGCTTCTACAACCCAACTTAGACAAGGTATGAATCCTGTAGTAATTGCAGCAGATATTAACACAGTTGTGTAAAAATAAGGTAGGAAACCAGACAAACAGAACTGACAGCTTTAAGGGTAGCAACACCACTGACTAATCCCATATTATATACTTACACCTCTTCCCCAGTGACTGACGAACGTTTAAGAGGCAAAAAGCAGTCTCTTAATGCAAGTAGGAACAGACTGTATTCAAAGAAAGTACATTGTCTTCCTGGTGAGAATATCTTATGGTAATTTCACAGAATAGGTCAGTCTTGCTTTCTAAAAATATCTGCAATTATGTAAGATTTCTGCACTCCGCCATGAAGTTCCACAACCCACAGATGCAACGTCGCTTTTAGTAGATGTGTTCTGCACTGTGCGACAGACGTACCAGAGGTATTAGCGGTAGTTGCCCTTATGGCTCCAAATAACACAAAACCATGAAATGCTAGCTTCTCAGAAGAAACAATTAGTTGAAGGGCTTACTCCCAAGCAGTAAGTGCCAGACTACAAGTAAGAGTAAAGACAAGGTGAGGATAACCACTTAGTGTATTTTAACAAAATTAGGACACCGCACAAAACCAGTTGTTCCCTTATAATCCAATTAAAGAGCACTTTTTTCTAAATTTCCTTATTAATATTTTCCAAATTACAATTAATAATGGAAAAGACTCGTCAGTATTCTTCATGAAGTAGCTCCCTTATTTCCCCACTCTAAGTTATGCAATCTATCAAACGTTAGTGGTACCTCCAGAACAGCTAATAATTTTTAATCAATATTGAAGTTCTCGAGTCCAGTTGATCCAAGCATGCTCTCATCAAAAAGAATAGAAAGCAAAGCAGAACTATGCAAATGTAAGCGGGTTAACTTTCCTTTACATTTCTAGAGGGGAAAAAAAGCTCTGGGCTCAATCTAAATCTCTTCAGTTTGCATAGAGATAAACTGATGCTAAAGAGAGGCCTCTATTCACTAAACCCTTTCAAAATACAATTTCTCCTAACAGTTTAGACTACTGGAACATTGTACAGTGTGTCATTTAGTTATCTCAAGCTAACCGGAGATAAGCACCCTGTTTATATCATCAGTGCCATTCCTCAGGGACCAAGTTAGTTTTCTGTAGCCCTAGTGCATAAGAGTTACAAAAATACAAACTAGAACAGACTTCTGTGAACATAATGTACTATTTTATAGCCTAGAGGAGTCAATGTGTTAAAAAAAAGTGAAAGCAGTCTCATCATAAGGTAACTTTTGGTTTCTGTACACCAGAGACTTCTCCTGGGTTGTCAGATACCTATTTTGTATAGTAAAAGTAACATTCAAGTCACATGTTATGCAACAAAATGATATGCTGTACTCTCTCAGAATCAGGATAATTTTTGAAGGCAGCCAAGTAAAAGGGAACAGAGTTACCATCTACCTCTAGCTTCCCCCCAGGAAGCTCTATTAAATGGTTCCTGAATGGTATCACTGAAGCAGTGAGGACCTTCAACTCAAAAATAAGTGGCTTTTCACCTTGTGGCTCACAGGCTTTTGAAAAGTGATCCACAAAACAAAGCCAGCCTTGTTCCTCTGAGCTAGAGAGTAAGCTGAAAACTAGTTGCCCTTCAAATTCATAACTCTGCATGCTACGTCAGGTGGTTTAAAAACAGCTGAAGTAAAAACCTTCGAAGTATTTGCACATCTTAGAGAAATACTTCACTTTGGAAGTAACGGAACTGTTGACAAATACAATGAAGTAGGTAGTCACTACCATCCTACAGCAGACTTGACTGCGATGCGATTAAATAACACACAATACATTTGTAAGCTTTGGAACTCCTCACAGGACATCACAAACCCTAGAAATACATAGAACTGACTCTGTTCTATGGATTTTTATTACCTCAGTGCGTTAGGAAGTTTCTGCATAGTCACACACATAGTGCAATCTCATATTTTTCCTGCTCCAGGTGATCATCAAAGGCCATCACCAGCACTGACACCACAGTTAACAATATAGCCAGATTTTCAGCTGCTACAGGTTCACATAGTATTTGCTTGACTTAAATCAGTCAGAAGAGTCAACATGATCAGTTTGTTTTGAACAGTTATTTAGACAACATAGAGGGGTGGGGAAGCAACATAGGACAGAATTCTGCAAAAGCTTTTCATTTATTAAATCTGCAATTTTCAGAAGTATTTATAAAACCAATGGAATATCTGAAAAAAACACCTGTTGGGCCGAAGTACAACAACCTTTAAAAGCAGCAGAAGGTTTTGTTACAAAGAAATGTGTGAATAGGAAAAGGATAAGGTTTCCAACTCGGAAACCACAGGAATCAGCACTGAAGACTCTCAAAGGTGTGGGATTACATTCTTTGACCATCAGCTACACCAGTATCCATTGGGTGTTTGGAAGGAAGGTGCTTCAACACAAGTTTAACAAACACACCATCATCCCAATCATCACACTGCCTCCTTACTTTTAGTCGAGAATCCGTTAACTGAAGAGCACCCAAAGGATTTTAAACAGTAGCACCAGAATGCTTTGTCTTTCTTGCTCATGATGCATTCGCTATCAAACCTCCCAGTCACGGCAAGTTGATGCACACACGTTCCAAAACAGTAGTCCAGAAAAACTCTGAAATTCTCCCAAATTCACATGTTCCCATACAAAATGATACCTGATATTTCAGCCTACACAGTTCTTTATTTCTTTCCTTTCTTGGCCACAGTCTTCTTTCCTCCTTTTTTAGCATTATTCCCATATTTTGCTTCCAGTTGGGCCAAAAAGTCATCCATTTCCTTCTTTCGATCTTTATTTCTGCTCTGCAGGAGGAAAAAAAAAAACCCCAAAACTTTTACTACTTCCCCATACAGACTATCCTGTTGAAGTTAGATAGCTATATAAAATCTTGGAATATGTTAAGCAGGGAATACAAGCTATAGAAAGTATAGTACCATCAAGCAAAAGCCTGCTTGTATACTCTGCTCTATATCTAACTTCCTGAAGTATCAGGACAGGTTACAGAGTGGCTATAAAAATTCACGACATAAGGTTAGGAAAAGCAAAGCAATTTCTAGTTTAGACCTAAAACTATTATAATTTGAGGAATGACTAAGCACGAACATTCTAGGAAGCCCACTAGATGATAAGAAAGCAGAAACAGAAAATGTTCCAAAAACCAGAACGGAAACAGTATCTTTCCTCGATCCCCGAGATACAAAGCAAAATAGTACGACCCATCAACTTCTACATCCTCATAGAATCCCTCAGAAAGAAAGAGGAGTCGTTAACACTCCCAGCCTAACTGCCTAAAACTAGAAGTTAAATATTTTGATTGTGTTTGCAGTGAGGATAAGACTATTAGAATAACACTGTTAATTTTTAAAAAGACACAGGTAATCAAATCCATACCATAGTACATAGATAGTTAATGTTAAGGTCATATTTTAACCTCAGGAACTCAGAAGAGTCGCAAGGATCCAAAATACAAAGATGCTCAGGGAAAACACAATTATAAGCCAGTAACATAATTATCTTTGACAGATATGAAAAGCCTTACTTGAATCAGCGCTTTCAAGTCATCTTCTCCACCAAGGCCCAGTTCATCCTTAGTCTTTTCTGCTTCTCTAGCTTCTTTTTCTGCCTAAGAGAACAAAGTAGTCTTTTTAAAAAGTATTTTGCACGTTATTTGACAAAGCCTTAGTAGTTACCAAACACTTTATTTTGCATCTGTATGTAAGTAGCTGCAAGGAAACAAACAGTTTCCAAGTTTGGCCACAGATGAGAGATCAAAGAGAGAGCCAATTCCAATTCTGCAATTTAGTAAAGCAGGACAGGGTTTTTGCTGTTTCACAACACTGAACATGATGAGATGTCTATCCCCATCCCTGTTCCCCTCAGCCAGATTTTTTTTTTTTTTGGTCTTAGCAGCTATTACATTTTTTTTACATTGGAAAAAGGTTACTGTGATGCGCATATAACATATTCTACAAAGCGCCCAAAAAACCCCAAAGCAACCCCTGGTTGGAGAAGGGGTCCATTTAGTCCAGAATGTTATTTCACACTTGCCAGAAGGCAAACATATTGTATTTCCACCTCACGTACGCTTCTTAACTCCAGCAACTCATGGCTTTGTGAAAAAAATGCAGGGACATGTTAAACTGTAATAAGCCGTTGTGTATAATAACAAAATAAAATAATTAATTAATAGCCTATTACAACTCAAAAGACTCTCACAACAATTTGCGATGAGGGGTGTGGGGGGGGTGGAGAACACAGGTGACCAAATGTGAAAGTCAAAGATACTGAGCAAGATCTGTAACCCAGCAATTCTGTGGCAAACATTTGTCTCAAGAACAGTTCCATTTATTTCTGCCAAGGGAGATGAAAAGCTTATCGTAAACAATGCTTCCCTTCGGTCCCTGATGGTTATAACCTACCCGCCTTTTTCTTGCGATCATTTTCTGCTTAGACTCTTTTACAAAACATTGGTAAGATGGGACTTCTCCAGAATCGATGGCTTTTTCTATGATTTTCCGTATTCTTGGTTCATCTGTATAGTCCGCACACAACACAGACTCCATTATTCTGTCCATGTCACCCTCAAAATCCATATATGCCGCTTTAATATCAGCTAGCTCTTCTTCTGAATCTTTATAGCTCTTTTCAAAGTCTTCAATGTCTTTTACAGTGATCTGAAGCAGAGAGGTGACACTTTTTGAGTTACAGGATTTATTCATCAGAAGGATTTATGAGACAGCATTAAGAAAACCACTGTTTTACACAAAGGAGACACGGCTGTTGTAGCAGTGGGTTTCCCCTTCCCG